TCAAATCGGCAGGTCCAGATGATCTCCACCCCAGGGTGCTGAGGGAATTGGCAGGGGTTATTGAAGGGCCTCTGGCATGGCTTTATGAGCACTCGTGGAACTCTGGCCAGGTGCCAGATGACTGGAGGAAGGCCAATGTGGTCCCTATTTTCAAAAAAGGGAGGAGGACCTGGGCAACTATAGGTCTGTGAGTCTTACTTTGATCCTGGGGAAGCTCTTTGAGAAGATTATCCAGGAGCACATCTGGGAAGGACCAGCAGGGGGGACAATGCTCAGGGGCAACCAGCATGGGTTCATTAGGGGCAGGTCTCATCAGACCAACCTGATTGCCTTCTATGATCAGGTCACAAAAAAATCACTGGATGCAGGGGTTGCGGTGGATGTAGTCTTTCTGGACTTTGGGGTGGGAGACAGTGTCAAAGGCCTTCCTATTCTCATTAAAAAACTAGGTGACTGTGGCATTGATGCCTACAGAGTCAGACAGGTCACAAACTGGCTGAGGGGCCGCACCCAGAGAGTGGTGGTGGACACGTCATATTCGACCTGGAGGGATGTGGGCAGTGGGGTCCCCCAGGGCTTGGTCCTTGGGTCTGCACTGTTTAATCTCTTTATTAGCGACTTGGACAAGGGGGTGAAAATCACCCTGTTCAAATTCACTGATAACACCAAGATCTGGGGTGAAGTGGGCATGCTAGAAGGAAGGGACAGGATACAACTAGACCTGGACAGGTTACAGGGGTGGGTGAATGAGAATAGGATGGGATTCAATACTGACAAGTGTAGGGTACTGCACTTGGGCAGTAAGAACCAGCAGCATACCTATAGGCTGGGGAGCTCCCTTCTCGAAAGCACAGTGGCAGGAAGAGATCTTGGAGTCATTATCAATTCCAAAATGAACATGGGCCACCAGTGTGAGGACGCGGTCAGTAAGGCTAACTGCACCTTGTCATGCATCCACCGATGCATCACAAGCAGGGCCAAGGAGGTGATCCTCCCCCTCCATGTGACACTGGTCAGGCCACAGTGGAGTACTGTGTCCAGTTCTGGGTGCCACACTTTAGGAGAGATGTGGCCAGCATCAAGAGGGTCCAAATCCGGGGACAGCAGGGCAGACCCTATGAAGAGAGGCTATGGGACCTGAACCTGTTCAGCCTTCACAAGAGAAGGCTGAGAGAGGACCTGGTGGCTGTCTACAAACTTACCAGGGGGGACCAGTGGGGAATGGCAGAGATCTTGTTCACCCGAGCACCTCCCAGAGTAACAAGGAATAATGGCCATAAGCTATTTGAGAGTAGATTTAGACTACACATCTGAAGGCACTACTTCACAGTCAGGGCAGCTAAGATCTGGAACCAACTTCCAAGGGAAGTGGTGCTGGCTCCTACCTTGGGGGGGTTTAAGAGGAGGCTTGACAATTACCTAGCTGGGGTCATATGAGGCCAGTATTCTCTCCTGCCCAGGAAAGGTGGTTGGACTTGATCTACTTAGGTCCCTTCTGTCCCTACATCTATGAATCTATTGAGGGGTCCAGTTGTGCCCGGGAAAGAAAGGCATGGTATAGCAAGACCTCAGGAGGTCTGTGAGCTTGTAGAGAGAGGGAGACACGGAGGGACTCAAGAAGGTGGACCCACAGAGATAAGGGGGCTGACAGTGGGAGGACTGACCCTGAGAACCCTGACTGGCCTATGCTGGGCCCAGGAAGGACCAAAGGGTAAGAGAGCCCAATGCAAGAGACAGTCAGAGCTGGGAGACCATGGAGTCTTGACTGACTTAAAGGCAGGGCCAGGACCTAGGAGAGGCACAAAGGTCCCTGGTGGGGGACGCAGCCAAGAGGAAGGGGGCAAGGGGCATACAACTCTGGAATGACACTGGCCAGTGGGTATGAGAGTGAACTGGGGCCTTAAACGGAGCCAGGGTCAAGGAGCCCAGTGGTTAGCAGCCCAGGAGTGGCATTGGATATCTAGGGAGAGCCCACAGAAGGGCAAGCAAGAGTAGGTAGACCCAATGATTAGTTCTTGGTAAGACCTAAAACTGCACCCTACTGGAACTGGTTGGTGTGGTGGTGTTGCCTGTGGCAGGGCAGCCTCCATGAAATGCCACACATGGGCCACTCCAGGGAGAAGCAAGGATAGGGCACCAGAAAGCCTCAGCTCCCACTGCCTTGTGGGTTACCCTGTAGAGGGGGAAGGCTAGGGGAGCACACCACGACAGAAAAGCACTTGGCAAGGAAGATCATGGGGGGGGGGGGTCCAGAGGGGTCCAAGACCGTGAGTTGCAAGGCCAAGCAAGGTATAGTGAGGCTCAGCAGGCGTACAGGGACTGGAAGGGTCCAGCGGCCTAGAGAGAGGCTGGGAATAGAGCACAGGGCTGGATGGAGCCAAGGGCCTGGAGAAGGCCTGGGAAAATACGGAGGAGTTGATGCTCAAGAGAGGCCTGAGAGGGACCGAGGACTCTGGCAACTGGAGTGGGGCCTGAGAGACAGAGGGGGCTGGTGGCCCAGGGACTGGCTGAGTGAGGTCCAGGGAGTAGAAGGGTCTGGCTACTGGAGAACAGCCAGGAGAGAGACCAAGGGGTCTGAGGGCCAGAGCGGGGCTATGAGGCCAAGGGGTCAGAAGGCCTAGAGAGGGGTTGCATCAGTGACCGGCAGAACATTTGCAAGGATGTTATTTGCAAGGCATGAGACGCTGTGTAAGGGAGGTATGGAGCAGTCCATGACCATAATCCAGGCAGTCATTACAATAAGAGCAAGGCAGCCTCCCTCTTATCACTGCATTTCCAACAGTGTGTGGCCCGTGAGACAAGAAAGCGGCAGAGTGGGCATGGTCACAGAGTTTCCAGGGAGCATCGCTGCCACCCTTGAAATTCAGATGTGTGACAGATGTTTACATCTAGCCAGTCTGACTGGTGTACAGAATCACTGTAGTTCTGCATACAAGCACAATACAAGATAATTTAAGTTAGTGCCTATTGAGTACAACTGTCCCAGTTCATGACACCTCCAGATGTGCATGCTGAGAATTTAAAAGGGCAACCTGTACTTTATGGGGACACTACCTAGAGGACTAACTGAAACATTACAGACAGTCTGTACTTGCACTGAAAAGAAAAGACTCGCATCCCAAGCATATTGTGTTTAAGAGTAGGAGAGTTGCATAAAGCAAACCACTATAGCAAACTGATTGCTTATAACAATGCCTGTTATGATGCACAGAGGGCAGGATAGCATGTACATTGGCCAAGGCTGATCAAATAGTGGCTAAACTGATGAAGAAAATATACTATCAAGATCATTACAATCAGTTTAGTAATAACTTTGATACAATATAAAGTAAGTACATTTTAAGATGTATGTACTTTTTGAATGCAATACAAGCATACATTTTACAGATCTCTTGAGTATAGTCTCAGTGACATGACATGACCTTCACAGGTGAAAAAAACCTGAAATAATTATCTTCTAACTAATCCAAACTTTTTTTCCATTAAGACAGATTTCCAAGCTTCGTTAAGCCACACTTTTGTTTACATTTCAAATGATTTTTTTTGGGGGGGGGGAGGGGGGTCTCTCTAGAATTGTGGCATTAACTTAGTAGATAAATTCCTAGATTTTAAAGGGGTAGTCTACACAGACTAATTCCTCAGCAACCTTTCGTAAGTAATTCAACAGAGCATCACTTGTTCCGAAATAAAAATATTGAAACATTTGAGTTATTCGAGAACAAATTATCTACTTTAAAATTCACATTATATCTTACCTCAGAATTAATTTTCAAGTTTAACCTAGTCCCAAAACTTAAACTTTAAGGCTAAGTATAGATACTTAAAAAGATAGAGGCAGAATTGATTCAATCTTTGCAGGTTAGTCTAAGCTGCATAGATTGAACCAGTAAGCAAGTGAACACACATTCCAGAAATTCAGCCACATGCCTGTAGTGGCCCAGACCAGAAGTCAAGGGATGACAGAGTATGCCTCCCTGCTTGGCTGGAGCAGACAGCTTGAGTCAAGGCTAGTTCACCCACCCTGCAATCTGGGATGTTGGGGGACTGAGTTAACTTGAATATGGAGATGATCTGGGACAGAAGTTCAATAAACTGATTTAACCTAAATCAGTAGTATGATAATAACACATCCATTCAGGTTCATCTTAAACTGGTTTTGGCCACTGTGAAAGCAGTTTGTGCGCATTGAACCTCTGGTTCTGTTACAGATTTGGATTGGTTTCTGATCACTTATACCGATTTATGTGCAATTTCTGTCCCTATCTTAAAAGGTTACATCTACAAAAAAGGCAAACTGTCATTTGCAAGTAAGAGCAGCAGAAATAAAACCTCACTTTTCAAACTGTCACACAAATTAAACATCTTCAAAAATAAGGGAGAAACAAACAACTGTTTCCTATTCCCAGTGCAATTCAGACTGCTTTTTTACTAGCTTTCATAACTACAAATTTTTCAGGTATAAACAATGAAACAAGTCACAGAGAAAGGTCAGTTTTATCCTCACAGGTTGTAAAAAGTCTTCTTACTCAAATAAGCAAAAGTTTTGCTTCATGAGCTTGTTTGCGACCACTCAACCAATTTTTGAGTGACATTAGAATTCAGGTCTCACTGAGGAAGAATGTCTTGCATTCAAAAAGCTTGCTTAACTTTATTGCAACTACATAGTTGGTCCAATAAAAGAAATCACCCCAAGGAATCATAACATACATGCACATTTTTGAGAAGTTATGAGGGAGTATAAACCTTGCTTACATAAAGAATACATTTAATTCACAAAATATGCTGTGCAGAGTTCTCCCCTTTGCAAAACATCTATAAAAGGGCTTACTTCATATAGCTTTATCTGCAAAACCCTCATTTTTCCCCACAGAAGAGTTTCTTTAGCATATTGTACAAGAACAAAGGGAGTAAAAGTTACAAAAAGTTTGCATTGTACTTGGAGCATGCCTCCTCCCCCCACAACACTGAACATGTGCATTAGGGTAAGAGATAATACTTACAGGAGAACCAAAATTATGTCCAACCTCATGAGCAAAAGTGATGTGAGAAACCTTAGGTGGGACATGAGACCCATAGTTCTGAACAGTGATGATTCCAGTATTTAAGGACTTCTTTTTACCATCAGAATAAAGTTTGCTCTTTTCACATATTCCCCCAGAGCTCCCTGCATTAAAAAAATAAAAGATTTATAAAAAAAAGTGAGAGTTGTATCGCTTGTTCAAAGTCCTAGCTGAAACCCAAAGCCTTGTCTAACACAGGGGTGTTAGTGCAAACCAGGCAGGCTGATATTTCAAAGTTATTTTGCACAAGCACTCATTGTAGAAGCTCATCCATACCAATAGGGCTTTTTTGCAGTTAAGATTATACACTTTTGAAGCAGATTAACCTTAACTGCATACCTGCCCTTAGTTCATAATAAGAGCATCTACATGGGAAGTTAGCTTTTCTGCAATAGTTATTTCATGCTATGTATTTTAGACGTTCAGTGTGTAGGCAGACCTACCTTTACCTCAGTTGTAGTGCAACACCAAAAACTATGTAATGAAATACACAAGTTTCTTCTTTATACCCTACTTGGCTCTCATTTTAAGTAAAAACACATTATTCCTAAAAACAGAAAATCATTTCCAGTATCAAGGGGGAGGAAAAAAAAAAAAGAGTATAACATTCACAAATGTTCATATAAGGCCTAAAATTACTAACTGCACATCCTGGAAAGCTGGAGTGACTCATTTTCCACAGTGTAATTTAAACCTGAAGTGCAGTTTCAAAGGGTAGGTTAATCATATACATGTTTATAAGATCATAACTAGGTCACACCCAATGTCTGAAAAATGTCTTGAGATTCACTAATTCTATTACTAAGTATTTCTGATATCTAAAACATGCTTTCTAAACAAGTTGTATTGCTAAAGTTAAACACAATACAGCAAAATAGCCTGTATCAGAATACCTGCGTCTAGTCACACACATGGAAGGGTAATACAGAGCCAGATTTGTATGGCAGGGAATAAAAAAAGTGTATCAACATTGAGTTTAACTTCAGTCACATGATACACTGCAGCAAGTATTAACAAAATGTATCTATATCGTTCTAGACTATTTAAATAGTCAAATTCCTAAAATTCTTCCTAAAGGCCAATAAAGTCTCCCCTATCTGCGCATTCTACACCTATCTGCCATCCATCCCACTGGTTAGGCAAGTCTGTAGAGATTTGATAGACATGAATGTTAAATAATGAGAGGCAGGCACTAAGGGTGACATTCCTCTGATGTGGGTTCTATGCACCAAAACTGGTGGGTGAAAGAATCGGCACTGGGTTCTTCAGTTGTGTAATATGGTATAGATACCAGGCAAATTCACTTGCAAACCTCTTTTAGAGAAGATTTTAGTGATATAAAAATGCAAACAAGAACTTCAGGACAGGGGTCCAAGCCATGACCAGCAGCCAACCCTTCACAGGCAGCCTGGTGGTTGGGAACCTCTGGCCTATGGTGTCTAGTATGTTTATAAGTGGTCAAAATCAGATATTTTAGAGGTAGGAAGGTAAGTGTGGGGAAACATCTCTCACGCAATAGGTTTCAAACCTAATAATTAATTCTTAAATACTTCAAGATCTGAAGCATAAGAAGCTTGATATTGCTTCCAAAATTGCTAGTTTTGATTAGAACCCTGGATGTTATTAAAATCTTGCTGATCTGTTTTTCTTACATTCCATAGTTTTCTATGGCACTACATACTATGGTCTAAATACTCATAATGCAGACAAATACCTCTTTTGAATTTCTAATTGATTTGATTTCATTCAACTTTCCATTTCTCTAGCCTTGTGTTATGAGACAAGTACAAGAACTCTTGTCTACCTTCTCTCCAACATCCTTTATTTTATGTAATTTACTGTGTTCCTTTTCTTTGTCACCTTCACATTCTTAAAAATGACTATTTATTCTTGGTAGTAGGACAGGACAAGAAAGTGAAGAATGGAAAAGTCAGCTGTGGAAAAAAACTGCGTGCAATACCAATATACTGTGAAGACTGTCTAGTTGGTGAATGTTGTATTTAGGGTTTACAATATCACATTCTAAAACTATGATCTCTGATACTTCTTTTTATAAGTATGTAATATGAAGCAATTTACCCCGAAAAGAATATTTGCATACAATTTATTTGCAGACTACAACAGCATTTAAATGTTTGGTAAGAATCTGGGTTTATATATGATTTTTTTTTTTTGAATGATTCAAAATCTTAAAGTACAGACTACAAATTTATTTAAGTTTTATTTACCAAAACAGTTTTGAAAACAAAGTACAGAAAAACAGAATAAAATCAGACTGGTCATATGCTAACTTTGATTTATTTTTTTTAATTAACATTTTCCAGTGGTTGAAATGCAAACAAACTACCTTTATAATTATAATTTGATTTCCAGTTAAAACACATTCCTGCTAGCACTGAAATTAATGAGCCAAGTTTTACACAGCTGTAAATTTGCACTGATCCTTTATAAATCCATGAAAAAAATGCTAGTTACAGTAAGTGTGGATAGTGAAAAAGTTGTTAGTCAGATATCTAAGACTCTGCATGTAACAAACAACATTGGCAAAACATCCAAGAGAAACTACAGTGACAGTTTCCAAATTACCTAGCCTATAAACAAATGCATCTGCTGTGTTTCTAAACACCTCAAATTTAGCAGCATCCTCCTACATTGATCAGTCTGACAAACAAGCAGCATGGGGCAGTCAAAGAAACAACTTACTGCTGGCAAATTAAGATTTATTTTTAAATTGACAAGGCTCTGAAGATGGTTCATCCCTAACCAGCACTGAAGACGTAATTGTACAGACCACCTCACCTTCTGGCCATGAGTCAACATTTTACAAAAATGCCTACTACTTTACCTGAATTATATTTTGTTAAAATGAAAGATATCACAACCAAATAATCTATAAATCTGTTACTCCTGATAAGTGGCTTTCATGTTTACTGTAGATGGAACAAAAACAGTCACCTAATCAGTTCAGAGGTGAAGAGTGAAAAAACAAGATTAGTTAGCTCACGTGGCCTTCCCTAACTCACAAAGTGTCTGGCAAATAAGACTGGAATTAGAATCTGTTGCTAGCATAACATTTAACAAGCACATATAATGCGTGAGACACAAAATCCTTCCCTCCCTAAAAAAAAGAATATTCAGATATGTGAAAAATCTATAGCAGAAAAAGTTATCTTGAAATAAATTGTGACTGACAAAAAAAAATCTTGTATTTTATAATGCATTTCACATGTGATCCAATTAGTTTATAAAGATTGAAGAGCACTGGCTTTTTTGTATCTCATCAAAACAGGATTTTTTCTACTAATGTTCTAATTAAAGGGATGAAATCTGCTATTTGCAACATTTGATACCACTTTATTTCAGATAATTAGTGCAGCCTCAGGAAATCAAACTAGGAAATTCAAGTTACATTTTCAGAAACATAAGCAAGAGAACTACAGTAGTAATTTTGTCCGTTCTACTGATAAAAATCTCACCAAACTAGAATGAAGTTTCGTAAATTAAGATCTATACCACCAAAATTCACAGTAGACGTAGTTTTCTTTGCAGATTAACTTGTTGACCAAAATAATGAGAGAACACAGAGTGCAGCCTAGTATGACAAGACGCTGCTGTAGGGCTGTCTTTTTGTTACAAGGCAGAAGGACACAGTTTTAGTGCCAGACCTGCCTAAAGAAAAAGCCTTTCTAACATATTACAAAGGCCAAACCTTATCTGTAGCAAAAGAATGACACTTTCTGATAATAAAAAGGAGGAGAGCGGAGAACAGGAACATACAGAATGGTATCAGTCTGGAATTGTTTAATGTTTCTTAGTCAGTTATGACAATATTTGCAGAATGATTACTTCAACTGAGCCTTGCAACTAGATTTCGCCAACCATTAAGTAACAAAAGTCAAAATTCAGTAATATTCAACTCCTCTTTAGTGTTAACAATGCTGAATCTTTTCTGCAGAAGGAAAACTGCCTACATACATGGACAAGAATGACTTTTGTCTTGCCAGGTGGTAAAAAGTATTTTTCCAATGGACAAGATGAGTCTTTAAATAGAGTTTCTTACATCACACTTGAACAGGAATAGCGACTACTGCAGTTATATAGTCCCAAGGCAGGCTATCACAAGGCTTCTCTTAAAATTTCTCCCACAGAAACAGCAGAGCATTTTTACTAAAAATATACGCTAAAGTTTCTAAGAGTCAAGATGCATAGTTGCAAGTAACAGTTTCAGTTAAGTTTCAAAATGAAACAGCGTATCTTGAAAGAGCAACAGCAGAGCAAATGTTTCAGGCTCTCTACAGACATCTGTCTGTACACAGATTTATGCTCTGCTTAGTGCTGTTCAACATACTTATTAACAATTTGGATGCTGGAACTAACGCTTTCCAGAGAAAATTTGCAGATGAAACAAAACTGAGAAGAACTGTAAACACATTGGAGAATGACACCACAATTCAGAAGGATGTCAGGCTGGAAAGCTGGGCTGGACCTAACAGGATGATGTCCAATGCCAACAAATGCAAGGTGCTACACCTCAGGAAGAATAAACATAAATACAAATACAAAATGAGTGATACCTGGGTGGATGGCAGCATTACAGGGAAGGACCTGGGAATACTCGTATAGCACAGACTTGATATGATCTGCACTGTGATGCAGCTGCATAAGAGGTGAATGTGGTTTTGGGATGCATCAACAGACACATTAGGTGCAAGACACAGGAAGTGATAGTGCTTCTACTGAGCTCTGATTAGGCCTCAGTATTGTGGGCAGTTTTGGGCTGCACATTTTTAAAAGGACATGGAGAGGTTAGAGGATTCAGACATGAGTGATAAAAGTGATAAAGGGCATGGAAGACAAGTAGTACAAGGAGAGGCTGAAGGAGCAAGGCACGTTCAGCTTGGGGAAAAGACACTTGAGACATGACAGCAATCTTCAAATACTTGAAGAGCTGCCATAAAAAGGGAAAACTTTTTCTCTCTTGCTGCAGAGGACAGGACACAGGATCAGTGGCCTGAAGTTGCAGCAAAGTAGGTTTTGATTGGATATCAGGAAAACTTTCAGGGTTAGAACAGTGAACCAGCAGAATAGATTGCCTAAGGAAGTTGTGGACTCAGTATTACTGAAGATGTTCAATAAGAGGTTGGACAGCCACTGCCAGGGAACATATAAGTATAGCTATGCCTATTCTATTGTGGGTATTTCCCATACTTTTGGGCTTTGCTGGTTACTGAATGGGACTGGGAAAGGATTCTTTCCCTTTTGCTGCTGCCCTGCTATGTGTCAGGGGTTTTTTCAGGCCTTCCTCAGAGGCATTGGGTGCTGGCTGCAGGATTTCGACGGAGTGTGCCAGTGCTCCTGCTGGGACAAACCCAGAGGTTCCTGGCTAGACGGTCTTGCCCCTCTGCCCAGGGTCAGACTGACTGCCATAGGTGGGGGGGTCAGGAAGGCATTTTGTTCCAGGGTCAGACTGAGGGTATGGACTGTGGGGCATTTTCGCCCATCTCTGTAGCAGGGGTCCTGGACCTCTTTCTTGGATCTCTAGAGGGTATTTTTACAACTGTCCCAGCAGCAGGATGTGGGACACTATGGTCCCCCTGCTTTACCTAGGAAGGGTTAGGGTTGTTCTGCCTTGTGGTTCTGTCAGGGTTGACTGTGTGCTTTTGCTAAGAAGTTAGCACAACGGATAACATTTTAGATCATGGATTTATAATAGGGTGATCTGGACAGAGATTATCTTGCCTCAGGCAAGGGGATTGGACTAGATAACTTCTTGAGGGCCCTTCTAGCCCTACTTCTCTATAACTGTTGGATTTGATTCTGGAGTACAATTCTGCAACAGGCTGAGAGTCAAAGACTATGAAGTGGAGAATCATATGGATCTCTGCTTTTAATTTAGACAGCACATTCCTGCCTCATGTCTTATTCTACTGATCATTTGAACCTATGCAAATGTGGTAAACAAAAACCAACCTAAACACTTATGGGCCTTCATCCGCACAGAAAAGCAAGGTGCTATAATGAAAAAAACCAGCCAAACAAACTATGAATTGGGGAAATGATGCACCTCAAATCATAAGGGCTCATGAAGTACTACTTCTTCCATTACAGTTTCAAATACTACCAAAAGAGAACTGTGAAGAGCCAGTTAAGCTAGCGAAAGGTTTTCTGCAAGTCAGTACCTTTTATACTTTTCTTCATACATAAATACTTGATTCACAATAGAAAATACTGTAGTTATGGATTAATTACCTGAAGGAGCTCCAACCCAAGCCAGACCCAGGACACCATCATCAAAATCACGGTCTGTAAATACATAAGCTAAGCAATAATCATCATGATTCTGCTCCGAGTTCAGTTCCAGAAACTTCTCCACACCAATGTTAGGAAATCTGAAGGGATTGGAAGGGTCCCTCTCATCAGCAGTTGTGTTGATCTAAAAGTAAATCGAGTGTAAACTTCATGAGACATTTAATTTGTCCGGCTAATGAAAGCTTGCTAAGAAACGCATCCTATTACTAACTTCCCTATGCGGTTAAATAATAAATTTTGTATAAATGCTATGTATTATTAATGTTTACTATTTGGAAAAACACAAAACCTGAAATGAAGACCAAATGACTGCACTTATATGGTAAATCAGCACCTATTTTTAATCGCTTATTTTGTTTCATAACAAGCTTTTTCCAGAAAGTCTTTTCATGAGTACCAAAAAAAAAAAGGAAGCACATATTTATAAACTTAATTCTATACCTCTGGGATTGGTCTTCAATCTGGCAAAGTAGAGACCCCGTATATTTACTTTAGAAAGTAAAGTTTCTGATACAAAAGGACTGCACTGCTTTTTTGCAATGCATGCTGAAGGGAAATGCTAAAAACCGTTGCATAGTCAATGTTCAGGATATTTACGTACCAATATGAACATGAAAAAATTGTGATACCTACTACAGAGTACAGCTGCATGTCCACGTTAAAATCTTTAACAAAGCTCAGTACTATGCTTCGTTCAATATCATGGGTGACAGACTGTTCAGTTCAGCACGCTCTACTATTAAAATCTCTAAAAGTGAATTTTCAGAGCATAAACGAACACTTAGGCAGAAGGGGCATTTTTACACATGCAAGTGCTGCAGCGCTGGGTGCTTTGAAAAGTGCCCAGCACTGCAACACTTGCAGTTGTATAATGGCAAAATGCACATCAGTGCTGAGAAAATGGTGGCAGCATGCTTTTGAACTAAAACCCCTCAGGGGCGCTTTAGTTCAAAAGCACACCAATGCCATTTTCTGCATGCTGATGCACATTTTGCCAATTATACAACTGCACATGACGCAGCGCAGTTCGCCTCAGCTCGCATGCAGAGCACTCGATTAATCGAGTCTGCTCTGAAGCAGTGGATCTCCAGCATATCGTGGGAAAAAAGTATGTTTATAAATGCCTAAAGTTGGTCCAAGATTTTAACCGAATACAGCAATTTTACCTTTAACAGTCTAAAAGAAACCCTAGGGGATCTAGAGAAGAAGTTAGAATACTTTTTGTATGTAGTCTTCCCCTCACCATCAATACTGGAACAGCAGGTTTTCCCTAATTTTCCTGCAGGAGTTTTCTAAGGGCTTTGTGTATTTTGATATATCACACCTTAGAGGGTCTGGAGTGTTAGCTCTTCAATAAACTCTTCCTCCTAAAATGTTCATGATCTATTAAATAAGTGTTCAAAACTTAAGGGTGGGGGAGGGAGGAGGGAATGGGGGATAAGTTATCCATGAGGCCGATCCTTCACAATTCATCCAGACCATGGACTGGTCCTGTGCCACTCATCTGGACTCACCTGACCTCGGGGACCAGATAAATTTGACCCCCTTGCTATAAACAACAAACTTCCTAACACTGGACACTGAATTACCCACAGTCAATAATGGAAGACACTGCAAAGTGACAATGAATACTAGAAGACCACTGAAAAAACCTGGTACAAGACTGCATATTTTTTATTTACCAAAAATCAGCCAGGAATAATAGGTAATGATCTTGGAAAGAGAACGCTATTCTAAGCAATTGCACCTTGCATTCAAATAACTAAACCACAGCTACAATGGAATTACTTACCCTTATTCGTTTCACCATAAAGCTGATGTTACGAATTCCTGAGAAATCTGTTGACTGATAAATTGTGTCAATTGCTTTAACATGGCTTGATATCTGTTAAATCAGAAAAAAGGGTAATATAGTTAAACTGAATTGCATGACTGCATATCTTTATTGTCACTAGCTACAAAGTTTCTTCCGCTTTCAAATGGATATTAACATGGCATATGAACTTTCATTTATAGTTAAGTACTTTAATAAAATGTTAATAAATAATTAGTAATAACCGTCTACATACTTTACACCATGAAGAGGTCAAATATCACCAAATTCTTTATAGGCAAGTTAAATTTGCTCATCTTAACAGATGCAACTAAAACATAATGCATTTGTTCGAGGCAGCCACTCAACTGACCTTAACATCAAAGTTCTATTGAAACGTCAGATATAAAAAAAAATATTATTTTAAAATTATTCTTCTGTAAAGTATTTTGGAAAATATTTACTTGTCATTGCTTATCACTCTTGCAGTTGTACTAGACATGAAATATGTAAAATGAACCACTTGCCTTCCTGAAAATTTTATTCTAAATTTCTAAATCCTTAAAAGCACCCTGACTCCTAATTTCACAGGAGTCCCACTTACAAAAGGGACCTGGATGCCTTTATAAATATTATCTACAGTGAGTGATTTGTGTACAGTATGATGAACTAATATACAGTAAAATTAGACACAAATGTCAATGATTGGTCATCTTTTAAGAGAAGAGAACACACGAGCTTTTAAAATTTTCATCTACAAAAATACGTTTCTCACTTGAAACGTCTGAAAATATTCTATGTTTATACCCCTGCTTCTCTGACGAGCTATTAAACTGGTCTGTATAGGACAGGGGTAGACAGTGTTTTTGGCCAAAGTGCCAAAAACACCACCAACCCTGACATGTCTCAGGGCAGACTGTGGGGAAGCCACAAGGGGCCTGATCCTTATTGCTGGCAGCAGGTGCATACACGCCTCCAGGCAGATGGTGGGGGAGGGACCACAGTTGTGCTGCCCTGGCCCCTTCCCCACCCTGCACCCCAAGGTGCACATGAAGCTGCTAATGACAAAAGCTGGTGGCAGGGTTTTGGAGCCCAGTGCAGCTGTTTGCAGCCTGCCCACTGCCTGCTGCAGCTGCCCAGAACCCAGGCCACATGCAGGCAGGAGACTACAAAACAGATGCATCGTGCTCCAGAGCCCCATGCAGGCTCTATGTCCCAGTCCCTCCCCTGCCATCTGCCCGGAGGTACATATACAACTGCCACTGACACAGAGCCAAGCTGGGGCTCTGAAGCCTGGTGCAGCTGTTTGTAGTCTCCCGGCTGCCTGCCATAACAGGCCCTGGGCTCTGGGCAACTGCAACAGGCAGCAGGCAGGCTACAAAAATTTGCACTGGACTCCAGAGCCCCAGCACTCGCACCATGGCAGCAGCAGCTGCATGTGCGCCTCTGGGTAGTTGGCAGGGTAGGGGACAGGGTTACACTGTCCCAGGCCTGTTCCCTGTCATCCACCCAGAGACACATACATACCTGCTGTTGCCACAGAGCGTGTCCGGGGCTTCGAAGTCCAGTGCAGCTGTTTGCAGCCTCCTGGCTGCAGCCAACCCGGGCTCTGGGCAGCTGCTGCCAGCCACAGACCATGGGCTACTCACAGAAGGGCTTGCAGCCACCTCGGGCTGCCTGTTGCAAGCAGCCCAGGCTCTGTGTCTGGTGGCAGCTGCCCAGAGCCCAGGCTGGCTGTGGCATGCTGAGCAAAATGACCTCACGTGCCATGCTCTGGCGCACACGCCAGGGGTTGCCAACTCCTGGTATAGGAGCAGGCACTGGTGTCTTTATAAACTCGTGGGTTGACTCTCTCAATTGCTTAGCCTCTATAGATCCCATTAACAATAAAACAACAACTTCAGATCTTAGCACCTCCAAATATTAGGCAATTGGTGTCTTTCTGAAAACTGATTACAAAGCAACCTCAATGAGATAGGATGGCAAAAGCAGATGAAAAGATCATCTCCAATAGTGAGGGTGCAGATACAGGATGACAATACATTAAATTTGTCAATATTTCTTTAAAAGGGCACACAACGTATTCCTGAAATAATGGCCATGGTTTACAAATACCTGTGCAATTACAGCTTCCCTTGTTCCATAATGCTTATAGAAGAGATGATCAGTCTGAATATAAAGCTGACATGTATTTCTTTCAGCTTGAGCTGCACGTTTTTTCCTTAAAATCTGTGGACCACTGGTGATGGTTTCTTCAAAAGGTTTCTGTACATATATTAAAATACATGTTAATTTTAATGTTAATGTTAATTCTGTAAACACCTAAATGAAAAAACAAAAAATTCCTTATTTTGATGTGGTGCATTTAATAAATCCTCTTCATACATTTTCCTCTTATGTATCATATAAAAGTTGAATCTTTAACTAAGCTGTATATATTTCTAGTTCTCATGGTTTGTTTTAATCTGGCTCCTAAGGACACCTCATCTCTCAACTTCCCTGTACACTTTAACTTAGTATTTCGTAATGCAACCAGCAGGAACACAGAAGTTATGGTACACTCAAACACAGGAAATCTGCCCCTAACAAATCATACAAAGAATTAAGTAATGATTTGAAGCCAAAGGTCATAGGAAAGTTGGACTAGCATGGACCTCATGAGATCCATGGATAAGTGACAAAAATCTAGTTGGCAACAATCTTAAAACTCAAATTTTTCCTTATAACGAACATTACTACTTCGAATGATAACTGCCCTAGAGTCAACAAGCTGAACAAACTGAAATACTCCAGCATGTGCTTACATTCTGAATGAAAGAAATGCCAAGCAGCCTAAACTTACTATTTTTACCATGCAGAGCAGAGACTGCCAGAAACATCTGCCCTAAGTCTGTTCTTTGGTTAATGGTCTCATCTCCTCCCAATGCAAGAAATGTTTTTGAAAAATATCCTAATGCTGGTTCATCTGCATTTGTGCTGGCAATATTTTGAAACCCAGTATAAATAAGATTTGGATGTCAATGTTGTTCACAATACTGAGTCATCTAACTTATGAGGATAGAAGTAAATGACATTAAAACTCAGAAAACACTGACAGTAAAACTGTCAAATTAAGGCATAATACACATGGTAAACAACAGTAAAAAAAAAAAATGTTCAAGAACTTCCCTTTTAGAAAAAAGGACTGAGGGTATAGACTGGCATTTGAGTTCCAAAAATGTCCAGTACCAAAAAAACATGGTGAAAAGGGGGCTGAACAGATGTTCCAGCCATCTGGCTGACAAGCTACACAGTGATGAGCTCTCCAGCCAGGAGAGCCAATCTAGGGGGGCCTGATCATTGATGGCCTGCAACTCCCCACTGCCAGGGAAGGGGAGAGGCTGTCGATGATCAGCTGGCAGATGCTAAAAAGCACCAGCTGCAGAGGACATCTTCCTGCCCTACAAAAATGGCAGAAGCAAGAACTACAGCTACTCCTTGCTTAATGTTGTAGTTACGTTCTTGAAAAATGCAACTTTAAGTAAAAGGATGTTAAGCGAATCCAGTTACATCACAGTAGTTACCTACTAGCAGGTGGTGGCCAAACAACATTATAAGCAAACATTGCATGACTTTAAATTAGTATGTTCTCTAGTAGATCAGTGATGTAATAATGAAACAATGCTAACCACAACAATGTTAAATGAGGAGTACAGTCTAGAGTCTCCCCAGGATGGTTCAAGCCACAGCAGCGGAAAACCTAGGACCATGCAAACGGGGTGGGGGGGGATGATGGGGAATAGGGGAAATAGAGGGCAGTGACTCACATGAGTCAACTGGCCTGGGTCTCCCTGGGATGGCTTAAGTGACTGGGGAATGCCCAGGGAGACACAGGACTGGACAAGGGGTCAGGGACAGTGCTTCTGCTGCTTGAATCATCCTGGGGTTCCAGATAACAATTTTGTTTGAACTACTTCTGGTGCGAACTGATTTATTTTTAAGTCAATGTCTTGCTAAATAACTATAACTTTAGTCACTATTTCTGCAGCTCCTTCTCCTTTTGTTAATTGTAAGGATCTTGAATGGTAATAACTCACTTGAATATATAAATGAAGTCTTAGCTGTGATATATCCAAACGAATATTACCACTCCTGATCCTCTAAGTCCCAGATACAGGTTTTGACAAGTACACAAGATGCAACAGAACAAAGGAGCTGGTATAACATTTTTTTCTTCCTGCCAACTTGCTGAAGTCTGTACGAACAGAGGTCCACACTTTCACACCTCCAATTCCACAAAAAAAAAAAAAAAGTGTTTCTCACAATGCAAGTATTATAGGACCCATCAGATACCCCGTGGGCAGCTTTTATTTGTGAGGCAGAAAGAAACCAAGTATTTAATTAAAGGAAAGCAAGGAGGGCAATTCTCTCCTGCTTTCTGTGGACTGCACAGAGTTCTCATGAGGAATACTTGAATTAGCAGGACCAAAGTCATATGGCTCTAAGCATAGAAAATTCTGAGTTCACTTCAAACTCACACCTTCACCTCATGCCAGGAAGCATTATAAGGCTTATTAACTACTTTTAGCTATTTCAGTCACACTGCTTATTTTGCCACATGTGGAGGTCTCAGATGCCTTCCTGATGGGACCACCATATAGCAAAACTTGTAGACATTTCCCATTGCCAGCAAATGATAGAGTGTCTTTCATGGACCATACAATCTCTTCCCATTCCCCCCCACCAGTATTATTTTTCCTGATACTCATTTTTAAGTTTAGTTGGAAAAGCCAGCAGCGATACTACAGGTCCCTTAGAACAGAGGTTCCCAACCATCAGGCCACAGCCCGGAACCGGGCCATAAAGGGTTGGCTGCCAGTCCACAGAAGGGCTGGCTGCTGGACCGGAAGTCCGGAAGTAACCAGCAGCCAACCCTTTTTTACTGAGTATAAAAAAGGGTTGGCTGCCAGTCCACAGTATGCCTGTCACTTCTGGCCTGGAGTGTGCCAGTCCATGGTCACTTCCACTCTGATCCAAAAAGGTTGGGAACTACTGCCTTAGAAGGTAAGGTGCTCCAGAAGACCAGTGGAAGAGAGACAGCAAAGGGTAGTTTCTTTTTATCAATGCAGTCCATTAAAATCTACACTGTACCTGTGTTGGGTCCTCCACACCGGTCATTTGGTACTTCTGCATTCTTTCAAACACAGAATGATCAGCACAGCCTCCTTGTGGTCCGTATTTATGGGGGTACTCTAAAAGCAAGGAAAAATGGTTATTCTGTTTCAAATTCTAAATATTTAAATACATTTTACTTATGTTAAAAGCACAGCAGTATTGAAGAGCGCTTGCAAACTAGTTAATCTAATGTTCAACATGGTACAATTCAAGTAAAAAAAAATCTGATTTTCACTCATGTCAATTTAAAAAAAAAATCTCTCATAAAGCCATCATCCTAATTTTTTAGTAGTTTTTTTTACATGTATAAATGAACTGGGACAATAGTAATACTTATTCTAAATTGTTATATTTTTTGCAAAATACATGCATAAGTGTACAATGACTTTTTTTTTTTTTTTTTTTTTTAAAGGAACTGAAACATATACCCAACAAAGCTAGTTAGAATTATAGCTCTTTTCTAAAAGAGGAGATGACATCATTTACTACCAAAGCAATGTTTCTTAAATTGCTTTGAGTTTTTAGTCAGGAGGTCACAAATTTGTATTGAACTTGAACTCGGGTCTTGAGAGGTAAGAAATAATTATCTAGCAGTGTTTTAAAATACTGATCATTTTTAATTCTACCCACTGAATTTTACTGACATATGGCAAGTTAAATTTAATTTATTTAATTTAATTAATAACTGCTCCGACACCTGGGGAACATTGCCTTACTATAATGGAATAGCCTTAATGTATGCATTTAAGCAAAAACGGAGTTTTATTAACGTGAATTAGACACTCAACATTTAACCACAAATGGCTGCTCAGCATAATTTTAAGACATACGTATTAAAAACACATATTGTTCTTATGGGAAATGTACATCTCATTATATTAAATATGTAAAACCATTTCAAATGCAACAGTCCATGATTTTTACACAGGGATACTATCCCTTTTTACAGCGGGAAAGACTATAACACTAGAAGTGAATTGCTCAAGGTCACAGAGTGAAACAGGGATAGAGACAGGAAACAAACTCATGTTTCACCTGCCTATCCCATATTTTATCACCTGGACCAGACTCTCTGTCAACTGTACAATTGTATTCAAAGTTCAATACCAAACAGAATGTCCACAAGGTATTTACAATGTATTCTGTTATCTATTCAGCTATTCAAAAAAAAAAAAAAAGATGAGAAGAACCTTAACAAGTGAGAAAGTACTTTAATACTGCAAAAGACTGAAAACTGTATTGGTTTTAATGAGCGTACTCTTAGTTAGTGACTGGCAAAGTTATCCAAAAGAAGCCTAAAAAACCCGAAGTAATTTATTTTAAGGGCAGCTGAATGAGAAGTGAAAGATGTATCCATGTTGACACAAACGGAAAGGAAGCTGCATCTGTTTTACACTTCAAAGCCAGCTTCTAGAGTGCATCATTCCCTTGGTAGGGAATCCAAATAAATGCCACAAAATATTTTGTTTTCTGAAGCCTTTAACGTAGCACCCATTTAACAGAGGACATCACAAAGAGAAGAATAAAGCTTTTACCCTCACACAATGTTCACTGAACTTTCAAGATGCAAGAAGGCCACATATCACTGTTTAGCACTTCCAAAATATAAATATAGATAAGATACAGTGCAATTTCATGTACCATCCAGGATATATTTCTTAGCTTTAGAGATAGCAATAGGAAGTGAAGGCTTTTATAAAAGACTATAACAGGAAGACCAGAGAAGGAGAAAGTGGTAGAAGCCTTAAGGAAATGGGAATGGAAATAAGGTGGTTAAAGCTTTAATTCCTTTAATAATTTATTGTACTTCCTTTATAATATGCAAGAAGGCCTTGAAAGACCATCCTCTGAACAAATAGGAAATGAACAGTAGCCAGCATACTAACAATAAAGGCTCATCTGCATCACCACAGATCAGCTTGAACTAAAGATATGATTTTTTTTTTTTTTTGAGTAGCAACTGGACTGGAGAGTGCTAAAAATGCAATGTCTAAGCTTACCTCTAGATTCTCATTTCCGAAGGTCAAGCCACTACCGTTTATTATCTATTTAACATTGGAAATTAAACTCAAACTGAAATAAAGCTTTCCATTTCTTATTTTTTCCAAAGTCTAATTCAAAACTTTCAATTTAGCAAGTCAATAGGATTTAACTGAAAGTGTTGCTGACAACTTGAAAATTGAAAATAAAGTGACCTTTCTCTCTAACTGTATGATGATTCTAGATCTACAATAGACTACAAATAATGTTTTGTTGATGAGAGGAATGGCAGAATAAAAGCAACTAAACAGACACAATTAAAAACAAAAGAGGCATTTTATGGCTCTTGGCTCATGCTTGCTCAAATAGAACTTAACTTCTTAAATTTGGATTGTAGAATCTGCAGTTTTGATACTAAACAACTATGCTCTAATCACCCACGTAGAAACTGAATACCAATATTTTTAAAATGTTCTATTATTTTTAAAGAAATATAACTTCACAGTTCATGGAAACCAGTATAAAATGTGAGTCTGTTCTTTCAAATGAGCAGTGTTACGAAGTTCTAATGTCTACTGACAAAAGCTAAAAGTTTTGATTCAATATGGTTTGCTAGTAAAATAAAAGCCTATCATCCAATCAACTGTTCTTTTAACTGTATAATATTTATATACTATTTATCATGATTTAAATTAAAACTCAGATGTGAAAATAAGCTTTTGAGTTAAATTTACAGTTAGCATGAGTCTACATTGACTTTAAGCCAATTAGGCACTAGTGGCAGCAATGTCACTCCATAGCTTAACACTAGAATGAGTTTTGGGGTATTTAGTCTCTATGTTTCAAGAGAATATCTTTCAAAATTAGATCGTGACTTACATCACTACACATTTCTTGAGATACAATTTCTTAGTTTAAATACATTACTAATACTGATGATAAATCCTATATTAGTGGTTTTCAACCTTGTTAGATTCCAGGCACCCTTAGAAAATGCCAGGTCTCAGCTTTCACTCTTTTTTTGAGCATGGAAAGATAATAAAAGCAATTCTTTTGTTGCAAATAACTCAGAAAAACCACAACAGGTCAGACTTTTGTTTGATACACCATGGTTTCCTACTTGAAATCTCAGGTTTGTCTTGTGTATAATGTGTAGGTGTTTGCAAAAGTAACAGTGTTAATACTGTGTGGCACCCCATGACACCCTTAAAAGAAATCTCATGACACCCTGGTTGAGAATCAGTCCTACACTGCAGCCACTGATAGATGTTATATTTATAATATATGATTAATGCATTAATTGTACAATGAATTGTAACATGCCACACATTTGGGAAATATATGTGGCTGGATAAAATGGCAACCAAGATGCAAAGAGATGTTCCACATTTAACTAAACAACTGATCTAACATGGAATATCCTTGGCGCTAGTTTGTATCCAGTTTCAAATTGAACATGTGACACTGCATGATTTCAGGGATCAGGAAGGCAGCAGCCTGAGGCCCTAGTTCTGACGCTGACGATCTGCTGATCATTGTCCCATGATCGAGGACGCAACTGCCTTGTGCCCAATATCAGTTTGTGGCCTCCGGCTGCTTCCTGCCAGATCACATGGGGGCAGCCCTGGCTCCCCACACTCAGGGACATTTAAAGCCCTGTGCTGCAGCTGATTAGCTGTGAAGAAGGGAAACTGAATTTACAGGGCAGTATTAAATAAGCTGCATCTTAAATCCAATTATTTTTATAATCAGCTTTACTCACATGAAGGTCACAAGTTAGATTTTGTTGTGAATCTAGTACCAGCAAAGGTTATGGTAAGGTACATTTCTTTAAAAGTCCTTAAAAAGACTAAATCATTTGTTGCAGGACTTCCTTCTCTGGTAGTGAAGGAACTGAAGGGGGAGAATAAGGTGAAAGGGAAAATAAGATCAGTGTCATTGGTTCTGGTACTATATTATACTCAAACAAGATATTAACAAATAGAAAAATCATATTCCTAAATTGACAGAATGTGTCACACTTTACTTTCCATGTTTTTCTCTACCATGGAAACACCGAATACTGAGCTTGTAGAAGAGAGTTTCAACTAGTAGGCAAACAAAGAAAACAGAGATTGAATAGGGGGGAAAGAATATTGACACTCCTTGGAATTTTCATTTTCTTTAGCAGGATGTTCTCATAAGTGAGCTGTTTAGTATAACTAAGTGCTTAAACCAGTGGTTTTCAACCTTTTTAGACTCAAGGCAGCCCCCTCAGTAGACTCAAGGTACCCTTCCATAACTTTGGTGAATTGAATGGCACTCCATTTCAAAAACTAATTTATTATAGTCAGGGCAGGGGAATGGCCAGGCAGGGACTGAGCTTGAGTCTGCGCGTTTATGCTTATATCCTCACATCTCCCAGCACCCTTCAGAGGATCTTGCAGCACCCCTGGGTGCCCTGGCATTCTTGTTGAGAATCACTGATTTAAACTCTACAAGGAAATGTAATTCTAGAACAATTCAGGAACATAATCAGGATTACAAAAAACATGTAATATATTTGCTGTAGATCCAAAGTGATTTCATTAAGACTATTTTGCAAAGAACAGTTACTTTCCCAACAGCAAACATAAGTCTTCGAAATACCATCAATTGTTTCCACTAAACTTGAAAGTGTCTCACACATGTAAAAGTAGAGGTCAGGATGTGTGATCTAAACAAAAACTTGAAGAATCACAACAATGGTAGTTTTCATGTTAAGCCTCAGTCACTGTGGATTCCATTATAGACAGTTACAAAGCAAGTATACCCTGGGGAAAATAGGGATTTCAGCTTCATCAGTCAAACAGTGATTGTAGTGGTCCTCTCTGGAACTTGGTATCTGATCAAGCTGCTAAAAGGCAGTGTTTGGCAAAAATCAGTGGGTTATCCTATCATGCTATCTTGCAAATATGTCACATTTACAAGTCTGAAAGAAGCAGAAGTTGTCATCTGACACTAGTGGAGTGGGTCTTAATACTGGGTGGGAGTGTTATCATCCAATAATACAAGATATGTTTAGATACTTTCTAAAATGGCATAGGTTGGAGTTCTGAATGCCGGGCTATAACCAAAG